GGTCTCGCTTTTTTCATCATGTTGTGTCCAATAATCTCAAACGCCACTCATTTCTCAATTTATCAATCGGCTCCACACAATAATCATGACATTTTGGATAGAAATTTGTGTGAGTGCTGCAAAAAAAAAAATCATAACTCGTTTCTATTCCGTTACTTAACCACATTTGGATATAATTTAGCCATGTGTCTAGCTAGAGCTCAACATGTGAGTCATTCTTTGGACTAAAGAATTTCTTGCCTTACGTGATTCTATTAATGAAAAATGTCGTTGTCTATTGAGTTATTTGGAATGAATGCATTTGAGGAATTTTTAAGGTAGCAATGCACAATGGAAAGGGTCGAAAAAAGGATTGAACCTTTTTATGACAAATGTGATGATCCTCTTAGCAGCGGTTAAGTTGCTTTTGATATTTTTCAGATCATAAATAATAGTTTAAGTCAATGACGTCTTTTAAAGACTAATATTAGCATAGCTGGAATGGGTTTATAGATGAATATTGGAGATGGTGACAAATTTTTTTTATTTGATCGAAGTTTTTGGAATATTCAAGTTATTGCTGTATTAAGATGTACTTGAAGATGTAATTTGATCATTTTCAATTAAAAAAATGGAACCGAATCGAAAATTTCACAAGATTTTATCAAATATGGTGGAATAATTAAGGTTTTGTTATCTGAGGCTGAATTAGACAAGTTGGTGAAGACTCTTTTGCATCAGTATAGACTTTTTACCATCTATTAAGACTTATTGCTAGTCTTTAGAGCTGATACAGACTCAAAATGGCTGAAAGAGATTCTTTAAGGTTGATCAAGACTTTTTAAGAATGATACAGACTCAATTTGGTTGATATGCACTGAAAACGATTGATTGTGACCCTTCATAGCTTATACAACCTCTTTAAAGTCAATAAAGAGTCAATAAAGTATCTTCTAAGCAAAAAGTGACTCTTTAAGGTTAAAAGAGACTCTTTAGAGCCAAATATAAGATTTTTAAAAGACTAGCTAAGTCTAGACTCGAACAAATAACTTAAATATTGCATATCAATCGACATTTTGCCTTATGAATCAGTTTTATGGTTGTTCTCATATTCTTAATGGCTTGAATTACTAATTTTACATGCTTCCAATAACCCACAATATTCCCGTTCATCTACAAACTCACCCATCCAGCAAAATTTCTCTGTAATTGAACTTCATCACCCAAAAAAACATTCGTGCTTTTTCCTGCTAGAACTTTTCATGTAACTGTCAAGAAAAAAAAAACACAAAAATTTACATGTTACGTTAAAATCTCTTCTTTTGATCATGCGGAATGGAACAAGACAAGAGAAAGAGTTGATCATTAATTGAAATGCCGTTAAAGTATCGTCTCTTCTCTCTCACACTATTTTCTGCCAAAATACTATCTATACGAACATCACACGCCACACATAAAAAAAAACAGATTCAATCGACATCAAGTAGGAAGAAGACAAGTAATTGCTTTGCAATTTTTTTTTTACTTACTTTCGGCAAAAAGAAATCCTCAGTTTGAGATGCCAAAGAAAGTTGAGGTTGAGGAAAATTTTTGCCTCACTTTAGAGGCATTTCTTCTTGTTGTTACTGTTGAGGGGGGCATTTAGTTGTGAGAAGTCTAGCATTGAAGATTTAAGAGAAGTTTGAAGCTGTGTCTTTGAAAGTTTGATATTTTTTGTCTGGAAAATTTTGTGATCGAGAAGTTGCAATAAGCTGCAAGACAAGAAGAACATTAGGTACCTAAGATTGCAACCTTAGTCATCTTTAACTAATCCTTAACAACCAAAAGCTTACAGTCCTCATTCCTGTGCAGCTTGCGATTCAAAAATCTCATTTAATAACATACATCATTTACGAACGACCCCCTTTATTTCTTTCAAAAAGTAAGTTTGTACTTAATACAACCGTAAAGCATAAAAAGAGATTAATTGAATGAGATCAAGTTTGATATGTAAAAAAAAGCCCACCAATTGAAGAGAAAAAAAGCATTCCATCTTGCGAAAGCGTGATTCCTTCTTCTTTTCATTCATGATTTTGCTCAAGACTCGAATTGTTGAATTTTTTTTCTTTCAAATAAAATGTTAATTTTTTTCCCTCTATTTGCATTTCGTAATCAAATAAAAATGCTTTAATGTAGTTTCGACTTTTTTTTTGTTTTGTTTGTAATTAATCAAATTGATCCGCTTAGATATTTTTAAATGTTGGTTAAATTATGCCATTTATATTTGTTCGCTTTAAATCGACATGGATATCTGAGGGCAAATATCATAGATTGACGGCTAATAGGCTTTCAAATCAAGTTTGTCAGGTTTTGGGATTGTGCGAAAATAACATTTGGTAGAATTTTCGCTGGGAATTCATTTGAATATTTAAATTTTAAGATTCTGTTATCAGAAAAGTGGTTGAACTTTATGGAATAGTTTTGAAACTAGGCTTTTGACGTAAATTTGAACTGTATTATCTTGTCATCCTTAAGTATTTGTATTTTGGATTTCCAAGAAAATTTCAGATTATGGTGAAATTTCTTAGGCAAGAGTTTTACTGACGCAGAACAAAATAACAGACATAATTTAGAATGTTGCTATAAGATGCTCTCTAGCTAATTCTAACTCTTTAACACGTAAGGAATTTATCCTTTAACAATCCTTTTGCTTGAGCAACCAAAAGATAAAGCTTCAAAAACCAAATTTAATGATCCAAACTTAATCTTAATCTTTCAACTAATCTTTAGTCAAACCGGACAAATATCAAATCTTACTCACACTTCCGTTATCATCATTAGCAACTGCAAAAGGCAGACAGGAATTTTTTTACTGCCAAAGTTAGAAATCAAGTCCACAAAATATATTCATGAAGATTCTTAAACTTAAATGTCACAAATCTGTGCTTTACGTCATAACAGGAATATTCGTGATTTTTTCATCCTCTTAAATGTCCAAAAAAAATTCTGTGTGGCTGTTGCTGAGGAGTTAATGATGCATTTTATTCATAGAAATCAGAGCTGTTGTGCAGGTGCCTTTTAAGTTTTGATACTTGAAATATTATCGCTCATATTAGTTGCAATATTTCCTAATCAACAGCTAATAATGTCCAGACATTGACTAGTCACGATCCAAATATTAAAATCAGGTTTCTTACTCGATCGAGTTGACATTATTATTATGGAAATATCAGGAGACTTATTTTTGTTGCTAAGAACGGAATCATGAGTATTTCTGCAATTTTTCAAGGGTGAATTCCAATGGATACAAGTTGTTCAGAGGTGAAGCAGGAGATATGACACTTAATCCTTAATCAATTACAACTTACAAATAGCTATGCTTCTAATCTTTTAAAACGGGAAACCAATTCCTACTCCACCACTGATTGATCATCCAGAACTTCAATAAATTCACAAATTTAATTCCCACTGCAACTAAGTTATGTAAAAAAAATGACGTCTGATTAATTCCTACTGCAATTTTCCTTTCTCGTCATGCACATTTTTCATGATGTGAAGTTAACTAAACTTTATTTATATTTTTTGTGCATGCATTCTCAAGAGATTGTTGAACGTAGATTAAATTAATTTTACACTGCACGTTTTGATGAATTCTTTCTGCACATAACAACAGAAAAGAAGTAACATACAAACGTAGTGGGGAGGAGGGGGTCTAAGAAAGAAAGGCTCATCAATATGCATTCCAAATTGCAAGAAATTCACAATAAGAATGTTATAGAACTGCATTAGTATGGGAGAATGAGATGAGAGAGAGAAAAAAAAAGTCGCGGCTCTGAATAAATTATTAAGTTAAGCTGACCTTGAGGGAATCAAACATACTGAAACACCGGCGCAACACGACCACAGTTCTACCACACACAATACATTCTCAATCGGCTAGTGAAAAAAAATACTGAGAAAGAAGAAGAGGAAGGGGGAGCATGTGAAGAGAAAATGATGATAGCATTGATGATGATGATGATGTTACGAAGAAAGATTGAAAAAGAGAGAGAAAAAGAATCTAAAAGAATTCAATGAACTTTTCGGCTACGCAACAACACACAACTTGTGATGTCATAAATACCTCTATATCAGGGGGAACTATTTCTTTTATTTCTTATTAGAATCAAAACAAGTTTTTTTTTCCTCATTTCACTTAATGAACATCTCAACCGTATTTCTCTTTAGAATGCAGTTTATTGCTCGGTTTGACTTTATGCTTGTTACAAAACTTAATTTCATGAATTATGCGATTAAATTTCTTGTAGTTTTGTTTTGAAATTAGATAGCATTTAATGCTACAATGTTTAATATCTTGCTACTTGTTGGATATTAATTAGGAAAAGGTAATTAATTTTTCAACAACTGTATTAAGATGTTTATGATTGGAATGGGCAGCGTAACTAATGGAAAAGGTTTTAAAAATATGTAAGAATGTTGTCTTGAATAGTTGAGATAGAACCGGCAAGTTTATTTGTTTAACAAAAGGTTTAAATTATGTTAAGACTGTTCTTTAAAGGTTCAAGTGTTAATTAAATTTGTAATCTTAATGATTGCAACTAATTTGCTATTTAAAATTGGTTAAATCTAATTAAAAACTCAACTATAACAATTTTTAACTTTTACAAAGAGGCTCGAAACTAGCTTCGTTAAGTTTAACGAAGAAAATTTGATTTATAAAAAACCATATTATTGAATTTCATTCATTCATAATTAAATCAATTCGAATTAAAGATTAGAATTATTTTTAAGCCTTCTAATTAAATTAAGACACCAATCACATCACATTTCAAAAGTAATTCCACAAAAAACATTCTCCAAAATTCATTGACTGCAACTCGAAAAATTCAAAAAAAACCCCAAAACCTCAAATATTTACTCAACTAAGAACAAAAATTGCTTCTTAACTTCTTCTTCTTCTTCTTCTTGTAAAATGAACATAAAAACCTTGTGAATGAATCTAATAATTGATTTCTTTTTCACTTTTTTCTACCTTTTTACAGATGAATGACTCGCTGAAGCTTACACCAACGGATATAACTGATTGGTTTATGGATTGTGAAACTGATGCTGATGATCAGAAGATTCCTCATGTTATATTAAATGATAAACTTATGACAGATGCAATCTTTGGAACTGTGGTGCCAATTAAAGCCGAACATAGCTACAGTCTCACTTCCGATGGTGATTCTATGCCTGATTCTCCTTCCGATGCTACAAAAATTGACGGTAAGTGTGATTCATGACGCTAGTGCTAATTAATTAACATGTTACATGCTGAATGCTTCAAATTCCACACTTAAATTGACTCTTTTTTTGGGTAATAATTGTGGAATCACATTTCTTGCTAAAGTAGACAGTTATCTGGGTCAGGTTCTATATGTGTAATTTGATATGAGGTAAACAAATGACGTAAATGCCTGAACAGACAAAGAAACTTTGCAGTCGACTCCATGCACTCGCTCATCATCTTCATTGAGCTTATGTAATGTTTATTTTTATGATAGAAAATAATGTATCGCCTACATGCTGCATTTCTGTAACAATTGTCTCATCCTTTTCTTATTTTCTTGTTATTGTATGGGATGTGCTATGGATATATTGATTCAGATGTTTGAGAGTTGATTATTTAGATGTTGATTGTGCGGGAATTTTTTTTCAGACAAGGTTCTGTTTTTGAAGTGAATTAATTGAATTGAAATGCTGCGAAAGGCGTCTGAGCTATGAAGTTTTGAAGATTGAATGTGTTTTCATTAGTTAAACTAGTTTTGGGGACCAGATAGCCTTTATATTACGTGATAATGCTGCCAAAAAATATTAAATTCATCGAAAGATAGTTGAAGCTTGAAAAAACTCAAACTCAAATCAAAGTTGCTTAATCATTCCTTTGAAATTGACTCCCTATTTGAACCTAACCCTAAACAAATCTTTAAATTATATCCAACCATCACTATTCCCCCATTAAAGAACACCCTAGCAACATTAAAAAAATTAAATGATAGAGAAATTGCCGAGACAATTCCAAATTGATGAGATCTCAAGATATTTCATTATCATTCAAATATTGAATATTTGCACATATGGCTTTAAGTACATCAATTTGATGATGCATATCTCCGTTTCATAACATCCCAATACATTGATACTGCCTCTGTCTTATTGTCTTTGAATTATCTATTGATTCAGTTGGTTTTCGTCATAGCATCCTACAAGATACTGACGAGGTATTATACTTCCAATAAAGTACTGTTTATCACCTCTATACAGAATAATAGATTTTGAAATCCCATTATAACTTCATTATGCTTTACAGCGATTCAGTTGCAATGATATTTCGTAACTTTTAAAGTTATAATTTCATTATTTTTGAAAAAAGGTCGATGCTATAAAAAATAAAGTTTTCCATATTTCTTATCAGTTCAATTTACACTCTTTCCTTTAACTCAACTTTGTAAAGGCTTTATATGCTGACATGCAAAATCACGAACTCAAAGCGTTAGCTACAACTTACAATATAGTTGCAGCACGAATAACATGAATGAAATTAAATGAAATGCAAAAAATAAGTTCAATGATAGCTTGTAAAATTACCTTGACAAGCTTCCTTATCGTTCAGCAAATATGATGAGTTAAGAAATCTCGTCAATGGAACAGAAAAATGGGAATATAAACTTTCTTAGTCATGAATTTCTCTAAACTATCAGTCAGAAATTAGAACTTGGAATCAGCAAAAACGTTTCATGTTTATACTTTCTAAAGATCAATCTGAAAGGCAACTAGTAAGGTTCATTAGGACTTAAATTAATGAAATAAAACAGTACAGTAAATTTTAATTAAATTCATTCTTTATAAATTACAATATGTAATTAAAAAAGGGTGTTAAACTACGTTGCTGTAGCTCAACTAATAAGATTTGAATCTTTAAAGTTCGTTAACCCAAAGATATAAGTCTTTATAAAATTATTAGGATATAAGTAACAGAAATGAAAGAAATGTCACTTTATTCTCCAAAAAAATTCATTCCAGACACGCTCAAAACATACATCGCAAAAAGTCTGAATATCTCAATAATTAATCCACACACTCAACTCATTTCATTTCAGATCTTGACGATAACAGTTGCCCAATCAATATGAACATGATCAGCTATAATCAGAGTGACAGCAACAACAATAACACCGCACTTAGCAGTCAGAAACAGAAGCAGTTTCTGCGACTTCTGAGCAACAGCAGTGCTCTTTATGCAAAAAACTCCTCCACTTATTACAATCAGCCAAAGAGTTACAGTGGCTCAAACTCGTCATGTTCAAGCAGTGAGGCTGACATTGATGACATCACAATTGTAAAGGAGGAACCTTTATCTCCACATTCCAGTTGCCCGCCATCTCCACATAATAGCTTTGGTAATACATTACCGAGCATTTCATCAATCAACCCCGACTTGATGTATGATCGCAAGGTAAAGCATTGAGTTTGATTTATTTTTTGGGAATATATTTTCAATTTTCGTTTTTTTTTTGTAGCCATCGCTGAGAAGTCAAGATCAGAACTACCTTACCTCTTCAACCTGCACCACTACATCACGAATCAAAACAGAACCTCAAGTTTCTAGTAAGTTTAAAATCATTTTCTATTATAATAAGCCATGCTAATTGGTTCCACTTCCTTCAGATTTTGGTTTGCCTCCAACACCGCCTCTATCGTCGCTAGGAGACGAGACAAAAGGGAATTCAAGTCCCGAACATAATAATAGTAGTAGTAGTAATAATGCCACACCTGCAATCACCTCCACTTCAAGCAGCTCGAAAAAGTCGCAGAGTGCGTCACATTCCACACGTGGATATTCAAGTTCCACCCGCCAACCAATTCACACGCCATTAATCAGTAGCCAACCGAAGGTAAGGCGTCATTCTAAGGTATATTGAAGTTGAAATGGATTTGGCACATTAGAGTTTTTAGAATCGGGTATAGGCAATGACTTTAAAGTTTAAATAATTGCTTTCATGTCTGAAACGAGATGAAGTAGGTCGGGAACAAGATAGAGTTGGTTTAAAGCTACTTTTGATGGCTCTAAGGCTGTATTGTTTTCTAAACTAGTCAGTGAACATTACAGTGCATAAAACCTTCACTAAAAAGACCATAAAAGATGAACTAATGCATTTCTAATGATCAACCCTTGAAAATTAATTAGTTGCAAAAGTCATAACTCTTAATGGAAATACCCCGATTCTAATTAGCCTAGTTGCCTAGTAAAAATTGCAATTTTTCAAAAAAGTGTTCCATTGATAAGAACGATTTCTTTAATGAGTTAAAAATTAATGAACATTATCATTGCAGGGTTCAACTGGTGATCTTATTCTAACCGATGAAGAGAAACGCACATTGTTGGCTGAAGGCTATCCAATCCCACAAAGACTTCCACTTACAAAAGCCGAAGAAAAGTCACTAAAGAAGATTCGGCGAAAGATTAAGAATAAGGTAAGGATTTATTGAAGTTTTGAGAACCTTAAAAATAATGAAAATTTAAACAAATTTTAGATCTCAGCACAGGAATCACGCCGCAAGAAGAAGGAATACATGGATCAGCTAGAAAGGCGTGTAGAGAAGCTCGTCACTGAAAACAACAACTTCCGACAGAAAGTAAAAGCACTTAGTGATGAGAACAGCAATCTTCTTAGAGAATTGCAACAACTTCTGTTCTCAAGCTTCCCTAAAAACCAGTCACTTGTTATCAGCCGAACAGCGAAACGTCTACTGCGTGCTGAGAAAGACGAGATGATTGAATCAAATGTGGAATAAATCAATAATTCAAGATTTGATTGTTTCGTCCGAACTTAATTGAATGTTTCTTCAACGACGAATTACTTAATTGGATATATTATGAATGAAGGAACGAATTCTTCCGCAGACTAATTTTTATTTTTTTTGACTTGACTTACAATTATTCAATTTTTATTTTGCATAATGTTATGAAGTGAAAACCACAATTTTTAGATAATTATAATGATTAAATATAATGAAAAATGAAGAGAAAATGAAAAATGAAATAAAAATCAAATTTATTTTTTAAAAGTTTTAAAATTTAAAAGAAATTGTTTTTGATTTTTTGGGGAAGTAAGGTTCTATCATAGATCAGAATCTCAGTGCCTTTATCTCGTCGCAACGTGTAGTAACACATCGCTTGGCTGAAACCTCTCACAAGGTCAATGATTCCAAGTGGTGTCTATCTTTGAATCGCTAATTTCAATTTGAAATGTCTTTTTAACCAAAGACTAGCTTATTCGATCTAGGATTTTAAAATGCTCATTTTTAAAAATCACAAGTCAATGACCCAATCATAAATTTGAGGTTATGCCAAACCACGTGCTCAAAACCTAGTAAAATTAAAAATAATGCATCAGCTATAAAATTGAATGCAATAAAGCTTGAAAAATCACAAAACAATTCAAAAATAACTTTAACGGTTTTTTAAAATTTAAACAAAAGCTTCCCACAAAAGCTCCTTGAAAATAAAGCTTTACTTTCTTTTCTATGATCACTCATGATACATTACACGCAATATCGACACAAACTCCTACTGCACATCGATATATCATGTAAAATTATGCAATTGTTATGCATTAGCACTTCAAACAATGCACAATAAGTAAAGTTTATTCAAAAAGTGTGACAAATTTCAGCACAAATACACCCTCGATCCTTTCTTATTCTTCTCAATAGCACTAATATAATATAGTATTATTTATGGTAGGTTTTCACACAAAAAGTGTTGTAATAGAAAGAGACATGACAATATACTAAAGAATATTAATAGGAATAAGAATTGATATCCGTGAAGAAAAAGAACTTAAAAAGACTTTTATTTTTTTTTGTGATTTGATGAAACAATGAACAAATTTGAATATAATAGAAGAAGAAATGTGGGCATATATGAAGTTTTTTTTTTGATTCAAGTCATTCGGTAAAATTAGCATTTCAAAATGTGCCAACGATAAATGTTTTGTCGCAAAACAAAATAACTATATTATCTTAGTGGATTTTTTATGGTTTTTTGACAGATTTCTAGAGTTTTTATTACATTTTTATAAGTAGTTTGTGAATTTTTATGTTTTTTGTCTTTGAATAATGGATTTTAAAACATGTAAAATGAGAATTTGACTAGGTTTTCATGATTTTAAATTATTTTGCTCAGTTTGCTAAAATTATGGCAACTTTTGCTCCATTTGCTCAAATTATGGCTCATCTTTTGCTCAGTTTGCTCAAAATATGGCAATTTTTGCTCCATTTGCTCAGATTATCGCACAAGTTTTGCTCAGTTTTCCGATATTGCAGCCAAACGCTTCTAAACAAACTTGCAAAGTCAAAGATGAACTCTAAAGACATCCTCAAACATAGCAACAGCTCTTAGTAACTCAATTCATTCAATCAAAAAAAATATTTAAATTCATTCCATTAAAATTGCATTGAAAATATCACATTTATTTTTCACACAATTCCCATATTGTCTCCTTAATTTCAGGTTATTTCCTATTAGAAAAAGTATTGGAATCTGTCAACTGCCAAGCTTATTAACATCAGCTTAATGTGTTTATTAAGAAATGTAAATTTTTGAAAAGGAATTAATTCGCGGAATACAGAGTCATTAGTGTCATTTTCCTCAACACCTTCGAATAGGATGAGAATTTGAAAGTCTTATGACTGCATCATATTTCATCTCTTTGCTCTTGCTAGTTGCTATAAAAATCTTAATAATTTGTTATAATTTGTTCTGGGAAGTTATAAAGTTTGTAAATATTGAGGGGAGATTTTTAAGTAACGTCAAACTTTACCGTACTTGAAGAGTTGGTCTACATCTTTGGGTAATACTTTGGTAGGAGCACAGTGTCAAAATCCTCGTTTTTAATAAGACATCATTAACAAATCAACCATAAATTAGAAAAACTAGAATATACTAAGTCAGAAGAAGAACTATAAAATATAAAAGATGATGCGAATCTTCGTTCGATTTCAATGATCAACGCTCCTACAAATCATTAAATTTTTACAACTCATTAGAGTCAAAAATACATAAAATAAAAGAAATATTAATGGAGAATATTCATACGAAAATATATAGGGCAATAGACAATTCACTAGACATATAAAGTATGTAGTATATTAATGTTTCATTAGAGACCGCACAAATGTAATCAAAGAAAAAGAAAATGAAAGCAAGTAGAAATGTCATCGGTAAACGGGTTAATGAAGCGTGTGACAGATTCATTTAGTTCACGTTTAGAGAATTATTAACGGATGAACTAATTTAATAAATTGTGATGAATATTAATTACTGTGGATGAAAGAATCATGTCTTGTTAGTGATCTTACTGGATATTATTGTCTAAGAAATGCGGAAGTTTGATTTTTGACATGCTAATCTGGAGCAGAGGTTAATTAAATTTGCATAGGGTTGACAAGCTTGAGTAAACTCTATTAAACTTAGTTTGATGTTATGAAGTTTATTGAACTTGCATAGCAACTAGTTTTGTTTGAAATCTAACGACTATTTGAAGTTTAAATTTAGAAAATTTATTCGGTAAAAATCTTTCTTTACTGAACGCACTTTTGTAACCAAAATGTTCATTCTGCTTATCTTAATTCAATTATTCAATATATTAATCATCTAAAACAAGATTATTCTTGCTGGAAAACATAACAACGCTAATGGTAAGTATTAAACAAAGCAGTTAAGTGCCTTGCTGGTCGAATAGGTAAGGCGCTTGGCTCAAATTTGGGATGGTAACTCGAAGGTCGTCGGTTCGAATCCAGCCATTTCCAAATTTGTTCTTTTTCGGAAGTTTAGATACTTCGACTGCTTAATGTACGAGATCAAGCCATCTACAGAAGATCGAAATGAGAGCCTTAGTTTATTTGAAACCTAGATTTGAATATTAGAAGTTTGATCCTACATAATATTAATTCATATGTATACATAAACAAAAGTGTAAAATGTGAATTATTACCGGACAGTATGTCGTCAATAAATGCAATAAAGTGCAATTAAAATGAAAAAAAAAAACAAACTTAATAACACAAAATTAATCCAAATTGAAAACATTTTTATAAATTTTGTTTATTTTCAACTTCCTAACACCAAATGCACTTTAAATTAATTGCAGAAGGGGAAGTACTCTGTCAAAATACACCATTAGACATCCAAATAGTAAACTCAAAGAGCGAAACTATCAAAATATTAGCTGTGTAATTTATAGGATGCACTTTATGAATATTTATTGAAAATTTAGTGTTTACAGAAGTTCCGAGTAAACTATGGGAGATCAGTTCAGTAGAAAAGAGCGTGCGTATCCAAAAAATTATGAGCAAAATTTCCTTCTGCAATTAAAAATTATGAGGTAAGCAATTACATCATTGCAAATCCGCTTTTTTTGTTCCACTATTAGTCTGAATAATGCAAAGAGAAAAGTTTGTTTACTCAAAAAAAAATGTTACCTAATCGCGATGAAATTAAGAAGTAATTAATTAAACAGCATTAGCTAAGATCATCGCGTAAATGTTTATAGTATAGGCCAATCAACTACATTTATTAAATTTCTTACGCATAAAACAATCAACAATAGGCAGGTATGTGAAGATATCGAAGGAATTTGGTAAGAATAAGTGAATTAAATTAGTAAACTAAACATAAATTATCAAGTCATTAAGTAGTTCATTAATTTGTTCAATTTTCAACGTCCTAATTAGTTTACTTAAATTCACGAATCTTAAAGATGAAAGGAAAAGAAGGCAAAATACTTTTCTTGTGTAGCAATCAAGTCGAAATGAACCTCTTATGCTCTCGTGTTGTAGATTACAATTTATCATTATTGAAAAATGATTGTAAAAGCAGAACAAGGTGTTTTGCTTAAAATTTATTGCAAGAAGTAGTGACAGACGAATTGCATGCTTCAGATCAATCTTCAAACTTGAAAATTAAGCTAAATAAAATGAAACAAGTTATGATTATTTCTTTAAGAAGGAGAATTTCCAAATTGCAATAAATCTAAATTTAGAAAAATGCTTTTTTAAATAAGCACAGCGATTGACACGAAGAGTAGTCATTAAAGATATGGAAATAGCTTCCTATAGTCATAAATTAAATCGTTTAAAGAAGATTTTCTATTTTGATCTGCCCAAAAAAAAAACAAACCATGAACATAATTTTCACTCATGTGGAACTGTAACAAAACCACACAACGATGGCGACAACCAGAAGAACCTTGAACTATTTCTATATGCGTACGCGCGAGATTAAAATTCTTATATGACGATTTTTTTTTTCTTCTCACTCTTGATTGAAATTTATCAAAACAAAAACTGTACGCAATTCAACTTGAATGCAGAGTTGGTTGTCTAGGGCAGTCTAGGGATGTATTTAGAATTTTTAAAAACATAGGCTGTGTTGTAGGAGTGGAAGGATCGGGATTTTGAAAGTAGATTGAGCTCTTGATTCAAAGTTTATGATCTTTTTGTTGATCTATAGTTCTAAACCTATGATAAATCAGAATCAAGCACCAAGTCACAGTATTCTATCAACCATCTCTGCCTAATTGACCAATTCATCATTCTGTGTTGTCTGGTTTCTCCTCACATCAATGCTTCACGCATATAAGCATTTAACAATAAGTACAATTGATGTATGGAGCATTTAATTTAATTAAATAAGAAACCTCAAAAAATATTCACAGCTCTTGAAACGTCTCACAAGGAAAAAAAATTTATTTGTAAACGTCTACTTAAATAATGATAATTTGTTGACCTATTCTGACTGCTCAGTCGCACTGAGCTCTTATTTGGTGAGTTTAATGATCCGAGTCGGAGGAGATTGTTCTGCTCACTTTTTTTCTGCTATATCTTTCTTTCATCCTCCCGTTTAGCAGACAAAGCATATCGTTTAATGTTCGTTAATTGATTTCAAACGCAAGCATGTACGAAATTTACTTGCAAATTCTGGATGAAATATGACTGAGGTCGATGTGAGACTCTTTGAAATTTGATGCGAAGCAGAAGGAGAAAAGG